CTCTGCAGGGTCACCGCCACGGGGTGCAGCCTGGAGGAGAGGGGGACAGGTCCCACGCAGCTGATTTTGGGGGATGACCTGGCCCGGCCGTGTCCCACCTCATCGCAGGGCATCTCAGCAGCTCCAGGGATTTGGGACCGGGGCATTTTTCAGTGTGTGTGTGGGTCCTCCTCACCTGAGCGTCTCCTTGATGGCAGCTTTGAGCAGCCGGATGGTTTTCAGCATCTTCGCTCTGTCCCCCGCCGCCTCTCGCTTGGCGGCCAGGACCTCTGCCCGCAGCTGCTCCTGGACCCCCGGGGACCGTGCCAGCTCGAACATGGCCCACTGCAGCGTCATGGAGGTCTGGAGCGGGGCAGAGGAGCAAAGCTCAACACCAGCCAGGACCTTCTCCCTGCCCAACAACCCTGCCCGCTCCTTACTGTGTCCACCCCACCCGCCATCATCTCAGTGACGCTGGCCTTGATGTCATCCAAGGGCAGCTTGTCCTGCATGATGAGGCTGCAGAGGATGCCCATGTACTCCTTGGTGCTCTTGCGTTGCAGCCGCAGGTCCCGGTAAACGTTTTGTATGCATTTGTCCGCTGAGGAGACACAGAGACGCAGAGTGACCTTCTTTCTCCAGAGCCGTGGTGGAGGAGGAAGGCGCCAGATGTGACACCTTAGGACATCGCTGCCCCGTGCCGGTGGCTCTTCCGTGGCAGTTGCCCTGCTGCAGGACCCAGCAGTGGCTGGTGGGCACGGAGGGTACGGGGTGAGGTTGCTCCAGGGCGATGACACCCTGCAGGAGGGTTGTCCCAGGTGCCAAAAGCTCTCTGAGGCCACAAGCCCCTTTGGGAGAGCTGCACCCCTCAATGTGATGCCCGTCACCTGCCCTTCCATCGCTCCTGGATGGTTCCCCACTGCTCCATCCCGCAAGCGCCAGATGTGGAAAACTCTCCTGGCTTTGGTGGCCCTATGCTGGGTGACTGGACCCAGGAGAAGGTCTCCACGCTGGTGAGATGAGGCTGCACTATGAAGCCAAGTCCTCAAAGGGGCTTTGGGTGACACAGGGAGGTGGGGACAGGCGGAGCGCTCACCCTGGCTGAAGATGGCATCCCAGGCCCAGACATGGTCCCGCCACGTCTTGGCGTTGAGGTGGCGGAGGAGGGCGGGCGGCACGTAGAGCATGGGCGAGGTGGTGTGGAACATCAGGGTCACGGCATCGATGAAGCGCTGAGCCTCGGGGTCCACGAAGTCCTGCAGCAGAGTACAGCACGTGGCACACGGCTGCGAGCAGAGCACCCGTGAGGGGAACCTGACCCCAACTCCCATCCCCTCCACCCTCCCGTGGCCAACTCCAGCCTTTCCATGGCTACGGAGACCTGGCTTGGCCACCTCCTCGCTCCTCGCATCACGGGGCCATGGAGGCATCCCATGTTGGGTAGAGTTGGCTACCGGTTGATGACCAGTAGATGATAAAACACTGTTTTATCAACAGTGTTGAGTTGTTCCCTACTTCTCC